CCAGGCCAGTCAGGAGGCAGCGGCAGCAGGGCTGCTGGGAATCCCCTCTCTATCTCCCTCCCTTCCGCCTGCCTCCGCCCTTCTCTCTCTCCCTCTCTCTCACCTTCTCTCTGTCTCATAAAAGAAAGGTAAAAAGGATTGAGCACATGGCCTCCAGCCGGTGTGAGGTACTAGTGCCCTCACAGTGCTGAGCTCGCTCATCCGCACAACCCGTCTCCCCCGCTGGGTGGGCTGGTTGCAGTAACCAGTCAACACAGTTGGTGCTGAGGCTGGAGAGCGAGGCCGCCCCTGCTCCCCCTGCTCCGAGGCAGAGCTCCCAATGAAGAGGTCTCCTGCAGCAGCTGCTCTCCAGCTGGGCTGTCACTTCTGGGACCCAGGAGAGGGGCGAGCTCACATGCAGTGCCCTGCTCCTGCCCGTCTTTGTGAAAGGTAACAATGAGCCTGAAGGTGACACCATTGTGCTTTATCTCCGTTAATTGGAAAAGGGACAGTGTTTATGCCACATTGTGAGGCCTGAGCCTTTATCAATTCCCTTTATTTACCCTGTTTATCTAGCCGCCTTCAGCTCTGGTTTCCCTGTAGCCTGGCGTTCTGTCCTGCCCTGGTGCTTGCACACTGTTAGCTAGCTCGTCACAGCAGGGTCCAGCCCTGAGAGTTGACGGAAGTCACCACTTCAACTTGGAAAGAAAGGAATGCTTAAACACAGCCGAGCCAGCTGAGTGTGCACCACCGGGAGAACACGGGTCTTGCCAGGTTCAGAACGCTTCACGCTCAGCCCCTGGGGTTTGCAGGGAGCAGGAAGACCTCTCTGAACACCGCCGCTGCGCCTGCCTGCAGCTCCTGCCAGTTCACCCCTGTGGCCTGCACAGCGCAGCTGCACGGGGGCTCCCTTTAAGATGCGGCCCCGGACGTCTAGGCCGGCGTAGGCTCAGGGTAATGGGGAGCTCAGACGGAGTGGCCGCTCTCACCAGAGGGCGTTTCTTCTCCAGCTCCATTCAGCTGCCGCGTCTTCCTCGTCGCCCCCGTCCACCTTCCAGGGCTAGCCTTCGTTTGGCTCGTCCCTTGCACTCTCCAGGCTGTTTCAGCCTGGGTGGCCCTCGGGCTGCCCTCCAGGCTGGGAGATGGGAGGGAGGAGGGTGGAGCCAGCAGCCAGAGACCATCCCCTGGGCAGCCGCAGCCTCTCCCTAGGCAGCACCAGCTCCTCTGCTCACATACCAGTGGCCGCAGCAGTCCTGTGTCCAGGTCGAGCTGCAAAGAATGCTGGGAAAGGTCCACTCCCTGGGCTGCCCTCAGCAACATGAGGATCGTGTCTCTAAGTACAGTAGCCATGGAAACAAGCCCCAGGCTGCCGGCTCCCCTGACCGGCCGCGTGGACAGTAGCACGGATTCTCTCCCCTCTGGACAACACGTCTGGTCAGGTGTGAGTGGGGGCCTGTGCCAGGTCCCAGTGGGCGTGACCCATCCATGGTGCCCTTGGCTGGTGGCTGTGTCGCCCCAGTCATCTGCATGCAGCATCCTCATCTCTGCCTGGCGCACCTGCGGTTCGAGGACATGCCCGCATCCTGGCGGCATCGTCCACGCAGACCCTGTCTCCACAGTTACAACTGGTCTCAGCCTGACACGAGTGTTCCCGTTTCTCCCGCTGTCAAGTCCTGGTCCCCTGCTGACTGTGTCCTCCTGTTGTCCATCCTGGTCCCCTGCCAACCGTGTCCTCCCCCTGTCCATCCCGGGCTCCTGCTCTTGTTCTTCAGGGCCTCCCCCTGGAGGACCCTAGGGTGCAGGTCCTTCTCAGCAAGACGCCATCGTCCTCCAGGTCTATGTCCTGCTGTGTGAACAAGAAACATGGATGGGGGAGATGGAAGGGGTTCTCCAGGGGCCTGGGAGTGGCCTTGGCCATTTCTGCGGCAGGCCCCACCACGTGGGCCCACTCAGGCACCCAAGGGGGCAGCAGGCCTCCATGGTATCTGGCCGCTCTCATGGTAGGGAGAGAGGTGGGGAAGGACGTCGCTGGCTGCTCTCGGGCCCTGACAACCGTGGCTGTACCTGTGGAAACCCTGCCGTCTGGGGTGATCAGAGCGTCTTCTCTGAAAGGAACCAGGTGGGCAGACGGGAGCCTCAGCGTCCCAGAGGGCCCTGGGACAGCGCTCAGCCCAGGAAGCTTCCCAGCCAAGGCTCGGGCTGCAGGACCCCGCACAGGGCACCACTCCAAGGGCGGGGGCAGAGCACAGATCCCGGGAAGGGGCCAGACACAGCCCGAGGCCTCGCTCCTCCCTCTCGAGTGCACGGAGTCTGCTTAGGACGGTCAAGGACAGAGCCAATGGCGCATCACGCACACTGGCCTGTGTGTTCGTGTCCTTGTCCACACCGCGATGCACGAGGACACGGGGCAGCTGCACTCGCTCCACCTCGGGGTGAGAAACGGATTTCGGCTGCAAGAACACAGACAGCTAGTTCTCAGGGGCACTGATACAGAGTCGTAAGTGGTTTTTAAGAAGAGGGAGGGATGGGACCAGCAGGTGTCATGGTGGAACAGGGGCCAGATTCCCATATGGTCGCCTGCAGTTTGGAGCTAGTGGCTTGAAAATCATGCCAGGCATGTGTGTGAGCGCACCCAAAATCCCGAGAGAAGAGAGGAGAGGGGATCGTGATGTGGCCATCCCCTAAGTGGTGACTTCTCACTTTCCCTCTCTCCCTCTCTCTCTCACCAGTGAGCGCAAACGCCCTATGGCAAAAAGTCTTCGAAAAGAAAAATAGGGAGGAAGGAAGGGAAGAGGAGGGGGACCACGGAGCACACAGTCCAGTGAGCTCAGACTCGGGAACGTCGAATGTGTACGCGTGGAGGTCGGCTCCGCCGCCCGTGGACAGCCCCTGTGTACACGCTGTGTGCCAATCGCTGTGCAGGTCTCTAGGGAATTACATGATTCACACGTCATTGTTAAAGTGGGAGCCAAAACCCTGGCCCCTAGCTGCTCTTGGTCCCTGCCAGAGCATCCGCCCACGCACATCACGTCTGGGTCCACCCGCCATGAGCGGGCCAGTGAGGGCCAGGTCGAACCAGCCCTCGAAGCCCTGGCCTCCGGGTGTCATCCCTGGGGTCGTATGTCCTGTTGGTGTATCTGATGGCCGCACCCATGTCACCCGGCGTTCCATTTTGTCTGCCAGCTACTACGTCTGAGCCGGTGTCTTGTCACTGGTGTCTTGTCGGGCCACATCACAGCTTTGTCGCAGCCTCGGCGGCCAGTCGAGGTGCTCCTCTGTCTGGGCCCTGTGACCACCTGAAGCAAAGGCAGGTGGTTGGGGACCACAGGGAGGCCAAGGCCCGGGAGCAAAGGTCACGGCTGCAGCAGACTGCGTGCCGGTGTGGGCAAAGCGTGATGCAGTCCATCCCATCCTCACAGAAGCCTGTGAGGCAGAAGCCGTTCTCATCCCCGTTTTCCAGTCGAGAAACCGAGGTGTAGGAGTTCGATGCCAGGTCGCAGCCTGCAGCAGGGCCCGTCCTTGCCCTCCGTCGGCCGCTTGCCCTCGGGCACTGGGGTAGCTCCTCCGAGCACCATCATCCCATGCTAGCCAAAGTGGGCAGGCCATCGCAGCCCCGCGTGTTAGCTGGCCGGAGGGGACAGGCCATCGAGCGCTGCACATCAGGTGGCTGAGGGGCTCAGGAGCTGGGGCTCTGAGGCGAAGGCGACCTCGCCATTTTCTCTCTCCCAGCCCTG